GCCACTGAATCCAACTCTATACTAGGGAAAATGAAAAAGACCTTCATGGTTGGCAATGTGGATATCTGCCCATGTATCCATAGCATGGTGGTTGTAACATCACCAATTGGAGTCCATGCACCACCAGCATTTGCTGCAATCACAACAACAGCTCCAAGAAGCCTGTAAGCAACCCATAGATATAAATGGAGCTCTACTTAGCTAAAGAAGTTTTCCAAGTTTAAAAAAGGAGGAATTCCCAAAAATAAAAGGCAGTTCAATGAAGTAAGAATGCAAACACAGCATTTTCCCCTCTATGGAAAGAAAAGGAATGGGAAGATCACTAGTACATTAAGATCCCAGCTTTTCTCGTTTAACTATATCATCTCAATAATCTATCAAGCAATGCCATTATGCAGATGCATTAGGGGCTTCTCTTCTTACTGGAAATGCTGAAAATCTATTTTCAGGTTCAGACAAATCAAGGTTCGACACCATTCTAGGATCATCCATGACTTTTCTTCACTCTCTTTCTTTTCCAGTTGGAATATCATCAAGTCACAGGGGAAAAAGGATCCACATAGCCAACCCCAACTAGTTTGGGATTTAGGCTCGGTTGTCTGTCTCTTCTTTATCCAAATTCTAAATCTAATGTAATGTTTCAAACTTATCCAAATTTCTACAACTTTTGATAAATTTTTCATACAAGAATCCTAATCATCCTAAATAGAATAGATTTTAAGGGAGTGTTACTCTCAGAAAATAGTTTGCTACTTTTTTTTTCCTGCACATCACATCTCTATTCTAAATTATTTCTCTGTAGAAAGATAAGTAAAAAACACATATGCCCAAAGAAAACAGTTCTCATTTTAATTATTGAACATGTTTTCATAATTAATTCATCTTCAGAAAATTTCCTATAAAATTGGAAAAATTGCCACAACTAAATGCATCCTAATTTTGTTAAGGTGGTGTTAAACATGGAAACATCCAGAACTTGCCTAAGTCGGTAAAAATCTAATAACATATTCAACAAATCATGGAAACTATATGAAACCAGGAATTTAAGTCAGGATTAGAGACTAATATCAAGCTATATTCTACAATATTCTCAATAAGAAGAGGATAAGTTCGTAAGAATTCCAGCACATACTTGCGGTATTCTGATGGAGGTACTAGTTTCCTCAATAAAGAAACCATGACAATAGTAGATGTCAGGTTGTCGAGGACTGAACTAAGGAAAAATGTCACAAAACCAACCTGCAAGATCCAACAATCACTGGTCACAAACAATTCATATGGAAACATGACCCAATAATTATGAGGCTAATAGAGAAATTTCAAGCAGAAAAATAATTAGAACTAAAAACTAATCATTTTAGACCAAAACTATTGGTCCTTCGAGTAACTACATAACAGAGGAGTAGACGCTGCCATAAATGGAATTTTTTTTTTATTTTTTGAATTGGTATATAACTGTAAGATATTGAACCACAAGAAAAAAATTATCATGCAACTAGCTGCCTCCTCATCGAATAATGTCTAATCTATCAAACATTTGAAACAAAGGACCTGTTAGCATGCCCATGACAGAAGAAATGCAACACTAACCACCCAAAGGAGAGTCCTTGGCTTTCGAGTGGTTATATTGTCTGTAACCAGCTTAAATCCTTGATGTGCATCAACTATCTCTACAATGGTCATTGCACCAAGCAGGAAAAATACTATTTCACTGACTTCTGCTGAAGCATGTGTCAGCTCTGAAACAGCTATATCAGGTGAAGGAGCCTGCACAAGATTATAATTACAAATATTTAATGAAGAAGGCATGCATTTCAGATTAAAAAAGGAACTTAAGTATAGAATCTAATTAAAAAAGGAACTTAAATATAGAAGCAAAATCAGTTTGGGTAAATAAGCGAAGAGTATGAATCTTACCCCAATGCTTCTTATTACCCATAAACTCACAGCCATCAATAATCCCACTCCACTTTTATTGAAGGCTAGAAACTCTTCAAAAATAATGCCTGCATATCCTATTCCAAAAAGCAATGCCATAGCAAGATCCTGTCTCAGCAAAATCATCAAGTAAACTACTAGCTTACCATTTTCATATAACCTTTCATAATATGTCTGGATGAAAATGTTGATAATTAAAAAACCTGTACACATGATAAAGATAAACCTGATTGGCAGCCACCCAAGAATGGTTGATTGCCACCGCCCCTGTTCCAGCTGCAGCAAAAATTGCAAGAGCTTTCACCAAATCAGTTTTTGGCTGGTAGTTGGCTTCAAAATCTCCGGAGCTTGTTTCATCAAGTGAGCACAAAGGGTCACATGATCCAGATATTTGTTCCAGCTCCTGATTACATGCTAAAGGGTCAATAACAAGCCTGACCAACAGCATTGAATGTGAAAAGATACCGATAAGTTATAACAGCGTTTTCAATAACAAAAACAATATTGATTCTTGTGTTACAAAAAAAAATAGATCCAGAGCAACAAATTAGACTACAATCAATATTTCAAGTACAAGAAAAGTCCATTGAACGTTTTCAATAAACTTTCCACTTGCCTGGCTACGAAGAAAGAGAAATCTGCAGACCGCATCCGCCTTTAAAGATATAAGCTAAAACGAGATCATTCATTATCCATTGCAAAATTCATTGTACGCGACAAAATTAACATATGAAGATAGCACTTCCCAGTAATAATGGCAGTCCCATATTAATAGATTAAACAAACATATTCACAAGAAATGCAAAACCTGGGCGGGAAAAAATGATAAATTTCGTTTTCCAGTAATCCGAGACCACTTCATTCACACAAAACCAAATTCACATACATAATATGCCAAAACCTAAAATTCCAATCCACCAGCTAGCAAAACAAGTAAAGAGGCCCTCATAAAAACTGAGACTTTAACGAAAATGAAACGTAAAAAAGAACCTGAAGCTGTTGATCAATGTTGACCTGTTGACCTTGTTGCTCATTTGAAGGATAAGAAGGTGGAGGTGATGATGACGACCCTTTAGCCTTGTTTTCAGCTCTAGCAAGTAGTTCATTACCAAGAGCTCTTGAACCTCTTAATTTACACAAAGATGAACCAAAACAAGACTTATAAGGTAGTGAAGATAGCGGGGTGGAAGATAGAGAATGGAATGATTGTTTCTTGAATCGGTTTGTTATGTGTAAGTGGTGTGTCCCATTTGAGAAGGATGCCATTAAAGCTATAGACTTTGAACAAGCTTTTGACGATTGGAGAAGGGAAGAGGTTGTGTTTGGCTCAGTTCAAAAGCTAATGATTGCCTGTTACATAGAGGGGAGAGATTTTGAGCTCTTTTTTTAAGATAATATGGAAACGAAATGGCTTGTTGACAGGATTCAATCACGGGAGTGGAAAATCCAATGAGGAGACATGCTGATACAACGACTTGTCGTTATTTGGATTTTTTTTTTCGTTGCAAGTGATTTTATTGTCCACAAGGAAAGGGCTTGCTTGGATTTACCAAGTAAAATAATTATTTAATAAAACTCCCTCATTCGTATTAATTACATTCTATATACTTTGAATTTGAATTCATGTTAAATTATCTTCGTTTCTAGTTTGATATGCTTAAAATTTTTATATTCATCTTATAACGTGATTTTTACGAGTTTTATAGATAACATAGTATTTGTTATTGAGATAATAATTGTTTTTTAAAGTATTTTTATATGGAGAAACACTATAGCAATCAACAATATTTAAAAAATAATTACAAAATCAAATTCTCAATTAGCTTAATATAAAAGAAATAATAAAAATAAAATAAAAAAATAAAATAAAATAATAAAAATAAAATTTCAAAATAAAAAAATTTTAAATTTTGGTATAAAATAACGTTGGGACTGAGTTAATCAATGCCAACTAAATCCTATAAAACTAAATGACATGAGATTTTTACTATAACTCTAAACAAATTATTATGAATTGCAATAATGAAATTTATTTGGGTATGATGTGTAATTAAAAAGAATATGAGAAGCATTTTAATATTGTCATGTTGTCTTTTCTATTGTTTATTTAATATATGTTCTGCACATTTTAACGAATAGACATTGTTTATGCCATAAGAGTTACTGATATATGTTCTGCACGTTTTAACGAATAGACATTGTTTATGCCATTAAAGAGGTGTGTAAAACTCATTCTAGTAGTAAAATTCGATCATTTATAGTCAAAATAGATACATAAATATGTCATCTTTCATATGATGTGATACATGTTAATATATTATAGTTGGATTAATATTAGTGATCGATTATTTGTGTTTTTTCTTTCTTTTTCAGTGATCGATTGTTTGTGTTTTTTCTTTCTTTTATCTTTTCTCATAACTAAAATGCACATTTATTCTATGTTTGTTTAGATTTGATATAGTTGCCAAACCCAAATATGTTGGGTATGGCTTGACCGCCGGGCCTAGGAGCTTATAAAAATAATAATAAAATAATTAAGATTTTTTATAAAAATTATAAAAATTAATTAAGATTTTTGTTTAGGATATTTTAATGATAATTTATATTTTTTTTATAAAAAATAACAAAAATATTTTAAAAAGTTAATTAAGATTTTATTGAGAATAATTTAATGATAGTTTAAATATTTTTTATAAAAAATAAAAAAGTAAAATTTTTGTTTAGAATAATTTAAAGATAATTAATTTTTGTTTATAAAAATAAATAAATAAAAATTTTAAAAATAAAGGTACTTCAAGGATAAATGAAACACTTTTTTATAAAAATAAAAAATTATAAAAAAAATTAACTAGACATAATTACTGGATTCAAGCTGTTAGGATGGTAAAATTGTTAAACTAAAAAAATCTACTAAAATTTTTAATATATTTTTTAAAAAAATATTGATCACTAGAGCGGGACAATATAATATTACACCGGCAAACTGTCTCATTCTTCCATGAGAATGGGTAACTAGAATATGAGAACTATACCAAGACGACATGCCGTTAAATTCTACAACGACAAACTTTGTCAATCCATGTTACACGTCTCACAAAAATGTCTGGTCATCTTCAACCGCCACTAAAAGTTAAAGAGGAGGATAGCAGCTTACTACAGGAAGTTAGGGTGGCGCGCTTCACAAATTTTCTCCTTCTCAAAATCACCACACCATGGCAGCACTAGCTCAAGTCTCTGCTTCTCTCGCCCTGTCCATTCACGGTACACTCTCCTTTCTCTGTGCTAGTCTTCAAGTTTGTTTATGTTGTATGAAATTTAATGTACTTTGTGAAATGTTGATGTTGCAGATATTAGTGCTGTTAGGCCATCAAGAACCCGCCTTCCCATTTCTCGACTACCCACTTCTAGTCTTGCACGAAATGGGACTGCTTTCGCTACTGGGTCTCCACTCTGTAAGGATTTCATTCGTTTCATGTCTCTTGTCATCTATTACCTGCTTAGCATTTGTTCCTTAATTTGCACCCTATTTTAGCTAGCTGTGTGTTCAAAGTTCCAGTCTTCTATCTTCATCATTTAGTATTAAAGGCAGCAATCTTTTATTTATTTTTATTGATGTCCATCGCAGTGAGTACAAAATGGGTTTTAAATTTAATTGGGCTAGAGATTGAAAAAAAAAAGAAAAAAGAAATTTAAAGACTACTCATGGAAGCACACTTGGTGTTATTGGTTTAGATTCACAGCTTTGTGGGAATTAACAGCCAGGTAGAGTTATCATTTTCTTGTGTTTGTGACCTGGTCAAGAAATTGGTGCTTTCTTGATATATTGCTTTTACCTGTATGTTCAAGATAATCTGAAATAATTCAACCAGTCAGCGAAATTATCCTGACATCCACAAGATGTGAGCTTTGAGCTTTAAATTGGAACGAACCTCAGTAGATGCAATGAGGTTTTTGTTGTGTTATCAAGGGTGAATGCGAAGTTAGTGGCTTTCTGAATTTACATCGTAATGTGGTCTGTTTTTGCCATTTTTCTTCTTGTGTTTTTTTTTTTTTTTTTGCCAAGAAGTCGTTCCACAAGAGTAGTTTATAACTTTTGATCGAACTGCTGAATGTACCAATGCAGTTCCAAATGTTCCTTTCTTATCCTTTATGTTATTGGCAACCAAAGAAACATTAAAAGTGTAGGGAACTAATACTCAATTTCTATTTTAGTGATATCAAGAACTTCTCGTCAGAAAAAGGCTGCAGGGAGAGCAACATTTGTTTCTGTAAAATGTGAGAGAAGTACCCAGGAGGGCAGCGGTGTGGATGTATGGATTGGACGGCTTGCAATGGTTGGCTTTGCTGGGGTCATTATTGTTGAAATCGCTACAGGAAAGGGACTTTTGGAGGTATGGCATGTATTAATTATGAGTTTCAATGTCTCGAAAAACAAAGGGCTTACTATCATTTTAAAAAAGCACTCAGTCCTCCTGTCAATAATTCATTTTGCAACACGGTATCAATACACTGTAATATGTAAGACTTCAAAACTTCTGACATGCAGCTTGTACTAAATTGTGATTGCCCATACTATATGATAATGATTCTACTTTGTTGATTAGACTATCAAACTTTGAAATAAAATGTATTTAGCGTTCCCTAATGTTATCCAATACTACTATTGCTCTAAACCAAGGAAATAACATCTTTTTGTGATCATGAAAGTTAAGTTAAAACACTGGCAGACTCTTCAGCAATGATGACCACAATTCCACACTGCAACTAGTAATTATGAATTGATTCCCATGCAATGGAGCTTGGCTTTTATCTTAGAGGTTTAGGCACTTGAGCCAAGAAAGTGCTTGATGCTACGTATGACCGATTGCAGTTATCAATTTTGGAGCCAATTTATTCAAGTGTGATTTAATTATTGATGGAATAATTGGTAATCGTGAACAATTGCTTATCAAATCCATGTCCATTTTGCTTTTGCAGAATTTTGGACTCACAGCCCCCTTGCCTACGGTGGCCTTGGCAGTAACAGGATTGATGGGTGTTTTGACAGCTGTGTTTATCTTCCAATCGGCCTCTGAGAATTGATTACACTTAGGTTGTTATTTTGTGTTTGTAAAGCTTGTGATTCTGAAGATATTGGTGTTACACTTTTTGTTCATTGGTTCCGATATTGCAATATTTGAAAATGTAGATGTCATGTCAATCTTTATTTGTTCAAAGCATTTTCATCCGAGATATTACGTTGTTTTTACTTTTAAGTTGAAAATAAGCTGGCTGGATATTATTTGATGGTATCAGATCAGCTTCCAGCTTCCATACAAGGGATATCTTGGACTGACCGAGTTACAAGGACAATTATATGATAATAAACGTGTTTTACTTGAAGAAGCACTGTTAATGCTTTTCAGAGGCTCTTTTATTCCATTCTTGTCCGCTGCAAACAGATGCGAATAGACATATTCTGTTCGGCATCCAGATGACAAGGAAATAGAATCTGAACAACCTCCACTCATCTCATATGGTTATTTCCTATGAAATGGCAGCAGCTACAGAGAAGAGCAACAAAGCAAATGAACTCCATTCCTTCTTCAGAATTTATTCGTTTTGCGTTTTTCATCCAAAATCCCTTGCCAGCTATTTACATAAGCATAAAAGATATCTCCTGCTATATTCTTTACTCTTCCATAAGTGCTTTTCATATTTCGTCATATCCTGTTCCATGCGTCTTCTATCATCATTGGAAGATCTCTTCCTCGGTGCAACAATTAAGCACTACTTTTTTCTACCTCGATACATCTGTGTTTCTTAGGTTTTAACTAACTTTAGTATGGGCGCAACCATATCCCGACTTGCAAGAAGATTCCTTCCGAGGACTGAAATTAGGATTGTCATGGTGGGGCTTGATGCATCTGGGAAAACAACCATTCTGTACAAACTAAAGCTGGGAGAAATTGTTCTTACGGTACCTACAATTGGTATCTATCCTTTAAACTCTCCCCTTTCCATGATGAAACTGGCTTGGATCTATCTTCCAATGGGTGTTTAATTCAATATCTTTCTTGGCTATCTCTCACAGTTGTCTATCCCTTCAAATGCTGCATATGCCTAGGCCGACCATAAGACTTGCGCTCCCAGCCAGAAAATCCAGCTGTTGATAATCTGCTCGTAATGCAGCCGGAAGCATAGTAGTATATACTAGATAGACAGCTCATGTTAGAAAACAGTATCCCCTTTGTTTAATACTTTAATCAGCTTTACAAAACAACTCATTCTTCAGTTCATGTTTCATTTATTCCTCGGACTTCCAACAAAATATAGCAGTGTTTTGAGGATCTTCTGTTAGCAGCTGCTTCTTTGTTTGACAGAATGATTCATTTTCTGATCTCTTGATGTATAGTATGGTTTTCACTTTTGAGTTTGCTTAGTTTGTTTAGCATATATACCTATTTGCCTTGATTTGCTTTGGCACAGGTTTTAATGTGGAGACGGTGGTGTACAAAAATATAAGTCTCACCGTATGGGATGAAGGAGGACAGAAAAAGGTACAAGCTTAGTGCTATTTTATTAACTAAAGAAGAGAGTTTGCTGAATGTTTACTCGAGCAACTATAGTCTTTTTTGAATGATTTGCTGCAAAACAGATTCGGCCTCTATGGAGATACTACTTTCAGAATTCCCACGGACTCATCTATGTTGTGGACAGCAATGATAGGGGGAGAATTTCAGAAGCTCGCAATGAGCTACTTCGCATTTTATCTGATGTTAGTAATATCCATCTATCAAAAATTGAAGTTCCTTTTCTTGGGTGTTTTTGAGAGGCAAGGAAAGGATAATTGAGAAAATAAAAGGAGAACGAATGAACTAAAGATCCTGATCCTCAGAAATCCAAATGATTTTCACTTCCTATATATGCTACTCCTTTTCTGTGAGATTCTTCATATGCTGTGTAGTCTCGTACAATCTAAACGAGTGTGCACATTTTCTATTCATTTTGCAGATCGAACTGAAGTATGCCATCCTGCTTGTCTTTGCCAACAAGCAAGATGTTCCGAATGCTATGTCTGTTTCTGAGGTTGTTGATAAGTCTGGACTACCTCCTCTTAAACAGCGTCGCTGGCAAGTCAATGTGTCAAGTTCTTAGATTGGAGCTTGTCTCCTTTTCTCATTTCACTCATTTCTCCTTTGTCGTCGCATGCGTGCCAACAATTGCTCAGCTTGAAAGGCGGCAATTTGGATTACTTTCTGCAGATACATTCAAAGCTCTTCTGCCACTTCAGGACGTAGACTATACGAAGGTCTGGACTGGCTATCTAACAATATCTCTAACAAGGCAGCATAACATTAGAAATCATTCCCGATTTCTGCAGGAAAACTGAAGGGACGTTTAAGGTTGCAGCGTCATCTTCCTTGCCAAATCGGCTAGATCAGAATCATTGCACGTTCAGAGGGCGCTCAATAAGAATCTTGTAACATCCCCACCTATTTTGAGTTGCAATTTCAGAATCTCCTGTTTTTGACTCATCGGTTACAAAAGTAAGAGATGGCACGAGAATCTATCAAGGAAATGCATCCACAAATTAAAATCTGAATGCTCGGATGCATTTGTCTCATCGTTGCACTTCCAGCTGTAAAGTACTTATTCTGGGCATGATGGAGAAGGCTACAACAAATGGAAATGCATCCACAAATTACAAATTGTTAAGTTAAACGAGTTCAGAAATGGAGGTTCAATCCAGAGAGGGAGCATCCTATAGGACTGACCACTTGATTACAAGTTTCAACACAATTAAACATGCAGGGGCAGCGATAACCAAAAATTTTGAGTGATGGAATTTTCAGGATATGATATGGACATGACGACTCATCAAAATAGAAAATCAGAAATCCATAGACTGAGGCGTAGTCAAGGATTTCGACTTTTTCCCCTTTACTTTCTTCCCTCCATTTTTGTTCATCTTTTTCTTTGGTTTCTCCTCCGCAACAGGTTGTGTGCTCAGTAAGTGTTGATGAATGGATCCGAGGGGGTCTGCCTGGAAAGCCGGATGGTTAAGAACCATACTTAACTGTTTCCCTTCCTTCAATCTGATAGGAGAAAACCAGTTATCACACAGCTAAGATTCAATAAAGTTAACGTAAAGGTAAAGAAAACATCTCAATGAGATAGAGAGCAAGGAAATGAAGCGCACACATTAGTTTTTGCCTTGATTTAGAATTCAATTTAAACTCGGCAGCAGGTTTTGATTGCTGAGGAGGCTTCAACTCAGGGAGGAATTCTGTGAGGGTAGAGAGGTCATATGCTTTCAATTTCTTTTGTCGGCTTCGAAGCTTTTTCTTCTGAATGAACAGGAATTGTTTGTTTAGTTCATGATATATTAAGGCAGAAACTAATAAGAACCCAACAATAAAAATGAAGGAAGAACATTCCATAGTGAGGCAGGGACACCGAGCACCTATAAAAACTCCAATTGACATTTGCAGAAACATAGGTTTTCAATGCTGACTAATTTGCAAAGCCGCAAACACTAAATCAAGTTATACATTCCAATCAGTGCTCAAGAACAAAAACCCAAATAAAACAAGCACAAACATTTGTCAAACCTCTCAGGTTATAATTAGTAGTCCTCGATGAAAATAAGAGATCTACAATAAGTAGTAGTCCTCGATGAAAATAAGAGATCTAGAGACTGCCCCATCATTTAAAAACATCAAAAGGACATAATTGCAACTAATAAAAAGACGCACATGAAGAATCTTCTTCAGAACTCAAGCAACTGAAAAATTCCACTGATAAGCTATCTGAAACTATGTAATAGAGATACCATGGTTATATAGAATATTTCTGCGTATAATTTCTACGAATTCGGCAATTTACACAAGCATCAGAAGCACAATCTAGACTCGTGTAAATCCCATTATAAACAGGAAAAAACTATACTATTCTGAGACAACTAAAGTGAAAACAACAATCGGTTACCTTGGTAATAGATTTTTGAGCATTCAAAACAGCAACTGTATCTCTGACCTCTGCATTGAAAAGCAAATACAAGAAATATAATAGTGGATAGAGCTAGGAAAAAGATGAGGAACCATTAGTTAATTAAAAAGGAAAAAACAGAATTAACACTCACTGCTATAGAACTGAACCTTCTTCTCGAATTTACGGTCCGCTTTAGACGCAGCATCTTGTCTGCAAACATAAAATAAATAAATAAAATCAAAAGAACACCAGTCATTAATAAAAAGAAGAAGAAGAAGGATATCACGCACCTTGACTTTCCCATGGCTGAAGGTTCTAAGTTACAATTCGAGGATTGTTGAAGATATTATAAAGAACGCTAGAGAAAATTAATGTCTGCAAGCAAATTAAAGTTGTCTAGGGTTTTCTCGTTAAAAGGTTCTGTAAATCAGGAAAGCTTCTGTTCTCCCTCGTTTTGCAACTTAATTACACGGGTACTGTAGCAAGCGTGCGTGTACAGCTCACGCGCCCGTGCTCCTTTAACCAGCCGGTTTAGTAGTTTGGACTAGTAATTTGATCCAGCCCAGCCATGGGTTAAATTTAGCTCTCTGAAAAAAAGATAAAAAAACGTGGGCTGGATTTAGGATTTAGACCCAGCAAGCTTATAGTATATTTACTAAGGATATATTTGATAAAATACACTCTTACATCTTGATTATAATTGATTATAATTTTTATGTTTATTATGTTTTAATATATCTCTATAAATCCTTTTTTATATTAAAAAATTCAAAATTATCAGGGGATCTCCGTTGAGTTATTTATAGCCCCTCACACTTTGATTTTGTTTTTTTCTTTGCATTTTATATTTTTTTAGCTATATGCTTAATTTATTGACTATTATTGTTAAATATAAATATGTTTTTTTT